ACCCAAACCATTCTGTGATTCTCATCTCTCTCTCTCCCCAAGGATGTGTTGCTCCTGCGTGGCAGCGTACATGTCCTGGGAGAGCTGTGTGCTGGCGGGCTGCACCCTGCCAGGAGTGCTTTGGGGGGCTCTCAGCAAGAGGGTTCTTGATTGGGCGTTGGTGGTAAGCGCTTGGAGTAGGTCATATTGCTGCTTGTTCAATGAACAGGAGTTCGCGACGGAACAATCCCTGGTCCTGCACGCGGAGAGCCCGGGAGGCGGACGGGATGCCAAGCAGAGAGACATGCCGTGCCCCTTGGGCAATGGCAGGCCAGGCAATACCAAGGACACCTGCTCCATCCAAGAGTGGATCTGTCCCAGCTCAGTTTTACTCTGTCTTAGACCTTAATGTGTGTTTTATGGGCCTGGTGGAGCCCATGTAAAGGGGTTTAGTGCTTCAAAACCACTTCCATGGCTGTAGAGAGCTGAGTCCTTTGGGTTTTAGATCATGACTGACCAACAGGTGTAAGCTGTTTTTTACAAGGGTGCATGCTTGGTTGTTGGAGTGAGTTTATTCTACCTTGCGAGTCTTTAAGGGGCAGATGGAAATATTTAAATACAACTCCAGCCCACGTTTGTGTGTGATATCAGCACCCTGCCTAGCAGAGGCTGCACAGGAGGGGGTTGCTGAGCCTACACGGAGGGAGCCCATTAGTTGCAACTTGTGGGATTGTGGCCGTGCATAGTGATGGTATCATTATCAACCAGTTCATCATAACCAGTGTCCCCGTCCTCTCGCAGAGATCCCATGGCAGAATTCCCATTGACGTCAGGTACTGACCACAAATATCTGAATAGTCAGCCAACTGTGGCAATTTGGCTTAGAAATGACAGAAGATGTGTCACATACACCACAAACGTGGTTTATTCAGTCCTAACAGACAGCAGAAAGCGTGGCGAGAGGTCACCCGGCAGGCCACTACACCAGTGCTTTGCACGTCAGCTCGGTCAAGGTCCCACGAAGCCCTGTGTGACTTCAGTGGGGTCTGCTCGGTGCCCTGATCTTTGTGCAGGTATGTGTAAGATAGATAGTTAGAAAGATAAAGCTGATACAGGACAGTAATAATAATGCATACTTTGGGAAGAACTTGCTTTTTGGGAGTATCTAGAAACCCCAGTTGAGGATTTGGGCTCTTGGTGGGCGATGCAAACAATGAAATACATACAAAGCACTGGTCCCTGTCCCAGAGAGGTTTGTTTCTAAAGAAGAAGTAGCCAGTGCTCCCACCCATCCTTAATTACCGTTTGGTGGCTAATTTCACAACTACTGTACCGTGAGCTGGCTAAGGGAAACGGCAGCTGATGTCTTGGTGCAGTGTGCTGTTCAGAACCTGGCAGACCCTAACCGGACGGCCTGGGTTGGAGGTCCTGCTGCTGTCCCCCTGCTCCCAGGCAGTAGCACCCAGCACTCCCAGGATGTTTGGGTAAGATCTGGCTAAGGAAGGAAGGAGCCTCTTGGGCTCACCGAGGGTTTTGTTCCTTGGCAGAAAGGAAGTTTCAGTCCTCCAGTTGACCGGACTCTGCTTTTCAGGACCTTCAGGAGCAAACCAGTTTGTTTCAGAGCTTCTCCTGCCTCTCCACAACCAGCCATGAGCTGAGGAGGGTGAAACCAGGAGCAGCAAACGCCCCGTGCAGGGATGTGCCTACCCAGGCACTCAGGAGAGCATGCCCGTGCTCTTCCCGAAGTCACTGCCCAGCCTGATGCCAAAATCCAGCGAGCGAGACGTCCACTCACGGTGCAGCGTGTGAGGCAACTCCCAGTGGGTTTGGGAATGTGCTGGGCCCGTTGCACTGCCCCATCGCTCCCCTCTGACCCTGCTGGGCCAGCTGGGCTCCCTGGGATGGCTGGGCTGGGTGTGGCTGCCCTATCCCAGTGCCCACCCCTATGGCTTGGGCGTTAGGTGGGGTCCGTCCATGGGGCGATAGAAACAATGCCCCGAGCGATGCAGCACGGGGGGGGATTTGCAGTTGCCACAGAAATGGGTGCACATCCCGGTGTTCCCCTCTGCTCCCTTTTGCTTTCCAACTTCATACTTTGGGGTGTTGGTGTGGATTGCTCCGGATCGTTCGTGTGCTGAGAAAAGTAGGACTGAGCTGGAGAAGCTGCTCCAGCAGTAATAAGATTTAAACAATATCCTGGGACCTTCTTTGTCTTAGATCTTCTTTCTCCCTCGAGTTGCTTGTGTTTACTGCCATCACTCCCATGTTATGGCTGTGTCCTCCTGACCAGCTGATTGTTACGCTGATGTATTTCACTCCTCATTTAGCTGGTGATAGTTTTCTTTTTTTCTCCTCCCTGTAATTTGTTCTTCTTCCTAATTACATTATTTACAGTGGAAAGCCGATTCAGAGTCTTCCTGCGGCATGGCCTGGTGCAACTCCTGCTTACGTTCGTCCCCTCAGTGGGTGTGACTCAATTCTGGGGGTAAAGAGCTAAAAAGAGTTAAAATTGTACCTGGCCCTTAGGCTTGCAGTACAGGTCTTCAGCCCTGATTCCTGCACTGGGTTTGTCATGAAGAAGGATATTTCCAGCGAGGAAACCTGGGTGGAGAGGTTTTGAACAAGCAGATGAGCTGCTTTTTAAATGTTTTTCATACTCCGGCTTGCAAGCTGTAGTTTAACAAACATGTGACGATTCTTTTGTAGGTGTGTGGGGAGAAACAGCGCTTTGAGAAGCTGATGGAGCACTTCCGGAATGAGGACAACAATATAGACTTCATGGTGAGTGCAGTTCAGCAGCAGCAAACTTCGGTTTTGGTGATGGCTGTGCCTGGTCCTGCTGGCGCAGGCAGAGATCTGATTCTAAAATTCTTCAGAAATTGCCACAATGCCATTTTTTTAATATTCCAAACTGCATAACATGCATTTCATTTTTAGCTTGGGTTCAGGTATCTTCCAGAAATGCCTTGTGCCACAGCGAGGGTAAGAGAAAAGCGGCATTTTGCTCGTGTGTGCTGTTGCGCTGCGGCGAAGCAGCAGCTCCTGCGGGGTCAAGACGCGTGTTCTGTCCATGTGCCAACATCCTTGGAGTCCCAGACAGGGAAGTGTGGGAGACACTCGCTGCAGCTGCTGTCTGTCCTTATCTGCTGATAAATATAGCCGGTGTTTGCACCCCTTTGGTTCCTCAGTGTGCACATGCATGAGTATTCACCAAACCCGCTTGCCCTGGGGCACAGGAGAGGAGGGCGAGCTCGGGAGCTGGCACCCACAGACACCAGCCCCACGTGACAGGCAGAGGTTGTGACAGGAAGGATGAGCAAGCTGGTTACGTGTCCAATATCAAAAATACTTCTGCACCCGTTTCTTTAAAGTCTGTGGAAGTGAGTGCTGGTGCCCAAGGTGTGAGAAATTAAAGCCCTGTCCTTAATTACAGAAGGAAGGCGGTACTGGCACGGTGAGCGCAGTCCCTTGCACTGCTCCTGCCCGGTGCCTCGGATCCACCGTGATCCTCTCTTGAGGGGAGAGTGGAGCAGGAGGCCTGTGTTAAGCATCTGTGACACACTGTACTGTTCCAGAGCTGAGCTTTGTGTTGAAGACGCTCTTTCTGCCAGGAATTGGGGGTTGAAGCACCCAGCCTAGTGGTGTCAGTGGCGTGCAGCCCTGATGGCCCGGGCTCACACCCATCAGGGGATGGCAGAATGAAAAGGAGGTGGTGTGAGCATGACAGGATGGCCTCTTTCTTGTATTTAAAAGAAGAAAAAAGAGAAGTGCAGTGACCCCTGCAGTTTTACTCCAGTTAGCAAGGTGCTCTCAGTAACTGACCAATATTAGAGTTGGTTTAGCTCCTTATTACTGCAGCGCTACCCAGGACATGTTGGTAGTCACATTAAACATACTTGAGTCTGTAATTTAACAGATTTGTCACCCCTCAACATCCAACTCTCACTCATCTTTGCCCTGCTCACAGGGAAGAGTAATTGTATTTGGGGGGAGGGCGAGTGGCACAGCTCAGTGCAGCCTGGAAGCGAGGTGGGGCAGCAGCCACCCCACTGTGAGCTGTAGGATTTGTCCAGTGTTTTAAAACAAACCTATCTTTATTGTAAGGGTGTAGTAGGGAATATGTGTGTGAGGCCTGGTGAGCTGTGAATATTCAGCGTCTGTCTGGTCAGCCTGCGAGAAAATTCCCTGGCCCTCTCTAGGTTAAAAGTGGTGGTGAAATTTGCTTGAAAAAAGGATAAATACAGGGTTTGTTTTTCAGGACTTGCCCAAATACTAATAAAACCTGCATCTTTGGGCTGCTTCCACCAACAGCAGGCTTGACTGTGTGAGAAGCCTACAGCTAGAAGGGAGAGCTCATGACAAGTGGTTGGTAGATCCGCTCATTCCAGTCACCATTTGCCCCTCACGAGCTCCATGTGCTGCCACGAGCACCAGCCGATGGGCACGCTTCGGGGGGCGAGCGGGGAGCACACGGGCCCCCGCCGCCAGCTTGTTGTGGTACTGGTAGGCCGGTTGCAGCCGGCAGTGCCCAGGGCTGACATCACTCTCCTGCAGAGCGGGATAAAGCAGGTGCTGCAGCCCAGGCTCCAGCATTAAAGCTTGAGTAATTCAAGGAGTCGCAACGACTGAACATGAACGGGGCTATTCCTGCAGGACCTGGCTTTCCCACTGCCCTGGAGAAGGCGAGAGCTGTCTGGGAAGCTGGAGCTGGAAGGGGCTGCGGGGAATTGCAGGGATCAGCAGGGAGGAAAGAACAACAGAAAGGGAGAAGCATTTGAGAGAAGGTTCTTGTTGTGGACGTGGAGTGACTTCATTCTAAAAGCAACTTTCTTAGATTAGTTTTCTTTGAGTTGATGAATTCCTTAGCTGCGTATGTAAGGATCTGAGAAAGGAAGTGAGAATTTGGCCCTAACACTGCCAGAGCCAAAGGGAGTACAACAAAAGCACTCTGGAAACAGAGGAGTTGGCCTCCGGGTGATAGGATGGGACAGCAGAGTTCAGCACTTAGAGGGTTTGCCAGGAGCTGGGAAGAGTCCTGCAAAGACTCGAACCTGAACTCAGTTTTCCAACTGCATGGTTGGGTTGTTCGTGTAAGAGATGGGTTCGCTCCAAGAGGTTGGGGCATTGCAGGAGCTCCTGGAGCAGTTTTTGACCATCTTCCTTGGGTGTATCCCTCCTTTCAGTCTCACAGCTTTGCAGTATGACGTCATTTTGGAAACAGAGTGGTTAAAGCTGGTCAGGGTCGACAGGGGAAGACGTAGCTGGAAGGTTTTGACTGACCTTTCTTGTGTCCCTGTGGGCCTGCTCCCTCCAAAGCTGGGCAGTACCGGGCAGTTGTTCAGCTGGGAAGGATTTCACTGCAGCTCAGCAAAATGTCCCAGAGACGTGGGGTTATCCTGCTGGTAAAATCGGGTTTCTCTGCCCAGGTTTGTTGTAGAAGTCTAGGAAGTATCTCAGTAGACGTTGAGAAGCTGGTGTTAGCCCTGTGGCAGTGCTGCTGGCAGGGGAGGCTTGAGGAACCCAGCAAGGACTAGGCAAACCCTCTCTTAGAGCAGCTCAGAGAGGGACAGACATGATGTCCGTGAGCTGAAAGAGGCCTTGGATACTTGTGCAGAGCAGGATTTGGCCATGCCATACAGTCAAGTAAAGGGCAAACCTGCTGGGGTCTGTAGGCCAATCCCTTCCGCTCCGCAGGAGGTTTCCCGACCGCTTGCGACCCGCTGTGCTCCAGAGCCTTTTCCTTCGCCACATTGGGATATATTTGGATGCCAACCCCTATGATCTGGTCCCTTGTTCAGTTACCAAACCACAGCTTTGGAAAGCACGCTTTCTGCAAAGAACAAAGCGCCTGTTGTAAACGGCCCGTTTCCGAAGCTGGGGGTTCAGCTGCAAAATTAATCTCACTTTTACGGGCCGTTTCAGAAGCAGCATTGTTTTCTTAAGAGCTTGTGTGCTTGCACGATGTCTGGCCGGGCGAGCTAGCATGGAGAGTGTGTCTCTTCACCATCACACAGTAAAGGTACACGCTGCAGACATGACTTAATTTCTGGAACCCGTGTTTGCCTCTATCACCACAGACAAGCACCCTGTAAGCCCCAGTCCAGCACCAGCTTGGAAAAAACCTGCAGAAGAGCAGATCACAGTTTCCCCTCGTAGTAACCTCAACAGACATCGCCTGTGTCTGACCCTTGGGGCCCCGACCCTGCGCCTGGGGCTTTCGGGGGCAGCCGGGGCCGTGGCGTGGCCCGCTCTGACGTGCTGTGGTTCTCCTTGTAGGTGGCCTGCATGCAGTTCATCAACATCGTTGTCCACTCGGTGGAGGACATGAACTTCAGGGTCCACCTGCAGTACGAATTTACCAAGCTGGGCCTGGACGAGTACCTGGATGTGAGTACAGCGTGGGTCTGCTCTCGGGGTGCTTGGGTGTGTGGACTCGGCCGCGGAGGCTCCAGGCCACGTACCACAGTGCCACTGCTGCGCAGCCCGTCCTTAAACCTCCTTACAACCCCTCACCCAAGTGCTTTTGGGAGGGCAGAGCCAGGGTTGTGCCATTCTCTCTGCTAAAAATGCAGCACTGGGGGCTGTGGCCTGGAGCCACCCCCTGCAAGAAGAAAAATCAGCTGCAACTAACTGCAATTACAGACCAGGAGCTAAATTTGTAGCTTCGCCTTATGACAAAGGGAGGATGAACCGCAGTCGTCCTCGCCCGCGCCACGTCCCTGACCTCCAGCCGCGGGCCTCGTGTTGGCCCCAGCGCAGGTGCTGCCAGTGCCCTTCTGTCTCCCGGGGAAAAAATCCTCCTCTGAGCTTTCTCCTGACAGCCAGGCCTTGTCTGACGGCCTGGGGGAAACGCTCTGTTTCAGAAAACAGCTGCTTTTATAGTTCCCTTTTTGTATTTCTCTCCCTGTCCCTGCCCTCGGGAGCACACACATGGAAACAGCGCTGCTGTTGCCGAGGGATTGATCTGTCCCCGCTGACTTCTGCTCAGCGGTAACCAGGAGAGAGGCGTTGTGCCGCCTGCAAGAAGTACTTGTACGTGGTGATACCGAGCACGGGGCTGGGCTCCCAGGGCAGCACAAACCCCGTCATCCATTGGGAACAGGCAGACTGGTTATTTGTCACTTATGACCCCAGCTGACAGGTTTTCCTGGGTGATGGAAGCAGCCTGCTGCTCTCCCACCCCGGTTGCTGTCTGCGTCACACTCGCTGCCCGTGCTGAGTGACACCCTTGTCTTCTTGTTGCAGAAACTGAAACACACGGAGAGTGACAAACTGCAGGTGCAAATCCAAGCTTACCTGGATAACGTTTTTGATGTGGGAGCTTTACTGGAGGATGCTGAAACCAAGAATGCAGCCCTGGAAAGAGTTGAAGAACTGGAAGAAAACATTTCCCATGTTAGTACCAAACTTTGTCACAGAATCATGGAACCATGGAATGGTTTGGGTGGGAAGGGACCTTAAAGCCCCCCCAGTGCCACCCCCTGCCATGGGCAGGGACACCTTCCATAGCCCAGGGTGCTCCAAGCCTCATCCAGCCTGGCCTTGGACACTCCCAGGGATGGGGCATCCACAGCTTCTCTGGGCAACCTGTCCCAGTGCCTCCCCACCTTCTCCAGGAAGAATTCCTTCCTGATGTCCCATCTCAATCTCCCCCTTTAAACCCGTTAGTCCTTGTCCTGCCAAGGACACCTTTGTCTCTGAAGTAGCTCAGAGCCTGCTCTGCGCATGGACTTTGCTACTCCCTGTTTTGGGAGGTGGAAGCACAGATTCAGTGGGGCTACAACCTTTGGGGTGAGAAGCGTTCACTGTGGCAGAAGCCTTTGTACTGCTGGGCTTCTGTATGGGAGAACAATGAGCTCTATGGCAAATGAAGGAGTTTGGGAGATCTCAGGCAGGTAAACTTGTAATTGTGAACCTCATGTTCTGCGTATTTTAATTGCTCCACTTGCCACAAAGATTTGTTCATAAGCTGTCTGTTGGCCCGATCCAAAAATGCCATTTTATTTATTTAAAATGTCATTTTATTTCCTCTCCTGTCTGACACAACCCCCAGCTTCTTACAGAGGAGTAGCACTGCCTTGCTAACGTGGGGCTGGACACACTGCTGCTGTGCGGGCTGTGCTCAGCGGTGCCTGCCCATCACGGCCCTGGCTGCAGCACTCATGCACCTCAGGAGCGTCAGGATCCCCTGAGAGAGCCGTGGTGGGAGGGGATGACCCCCCCGTGCCAGGACCAGTTGAGCAGAGTGGCACCCCCAAGGCCCTGGCCTGGCAGATTCACAGCGTCGGAGGCTTCGGCTGGGTCACAGTTCCAGCTGGCGTCCCTCAGTGCATGGAGCCTCTGCAAAAGAGTCATCATCAGAGCTGGGAAAGCTAATTTCCATAGAAATTTGCAAATTCCTCAGCAGTGCAGTACCGGTAAACAGAGCAGACAACCATCCCGTGTCTTCCAGCACACTACTGGGCTCAAGAGCTAAGGGACTGGAAACCAGCGCTGTGCAGATACTCGGTGTTCGCTCATGGCGTTTCTGTCCCGTACCTTCTGGGTGGCAGGTCCAGGAAACATGGCTTGGCTGGTTCTGAAAACAACCTGCTGTGGGGTGTTTGCCCCCCTGAGGTGCCCTGCTGCTAGGAGAGGCGCTGCTCTCTTCATGGATCCGCTCCTTGTAGCAGTTGGGAAGCTTCATGGTTTACTCTGGGCCTGCTTCTCATCGCTTGTTACTCACACTAGGCTCATCCCAGGAGTACGGACATGATTTTCTGTCGTGTGTTGACTGAAATACTAATAACAGAATTGCAAAAAAGGACTGTGGGGTTTGGTGGGATACCCATAATTTACTGTGTACCACTGCTCCAACAAGTGTTGCTGACATTTTGGTTGAGAAGACTACTGTTTATCCACTTACATGATTATTTCTCTTTTGAATGACAGTTATCTGAAAAACTGCAAGACACGGAGAACGAAGCCATGGCGAAGATTGTGGAACTGGAAAAACAACTTATGCAAAGAAACAAAGAACTGGATGTGATTCGGGTAGGTGCAGTGGGAAAGCTCTGGCTGGGTGCCACCCTCCAGGGAGCGATCTGTGCAATTGCTGTATGGGGGTAAATGACTCTTAGCGGGCCAAGCGACTTCGGTTAGCTCCCTAATTTGGAACCTAGGACAGATTTCCAGTAGAATTAGTAGCGTGTGTGCTCAAAGACGGACATAAAACTCGTGGAACGTGCCAGCAAACCAGTGAATGAGCCAGGTATATCTTATTGCTTGGGTCTGTAGCATCTGGGAGGTTCAGATTGGATATTAGGAAATATTTCTTCCCAGAAAGGGCTGTCAGGGGTTGGAAGGGGCTGCCCAGGGAGGGGGGAGTCCCCATCCCGGGAGGGGTTTCAGAGCCGTGTGGACGAGGCGCTCAGGGACAGGGGTCAGTGGTGGCCTGGGCAGTGCTGGGGTTACAGTTGGACTCGATGGGCTTAAAGGGCTTTTCCAACCAGAAGAGTTCTGTGAGTCCGTGATCTGTTTGGAGTTCTGCACATGTGGTTGGCTGCGGGGCGGATTGGAGGTGGACCTGGAGGCCTTCAGACCTGGGCTGTGCCGCAGCCAGTGCCCTTGTCTGTGCTGTCAAGCACAGCCAAGCTTTCCGTGCGCAGTCCAGAGTTATTACTTCTTGGTGTACAACCCTGGGAACAAAAATGATCAGTATAATATTAACTAACTTCAGCCTAAATGTCATTCCAAACTGTGGTGCTCCTAGGGTTCCTTCGGAGGGTCTGCCCTGGGTATGTGCGGGTACGATTTCCCCTCCAGATCAGGAGCTCTGTTCCTGCTTCCCTTTAGGGGACATCTGCTCGTAGGTAGAGCCACCAGCAGGGCATCAGCCACTCTGTGCTAAAACCAAAGTCGAGGTAGCATACCTGCACTGTGTTTAAGACTAGCGTAAGAAACAGGAGGCACCATGAAGATGGTGAGGAATTCTACCCCCCAGGTGCTGGCGCCCAGGGATGTGCTTTCTCCCAGGCCGCAGCACTGTGCACAGCCTTCCTGTGTTCTTCCTAGCTTGGGAAGAACACAAAATGCATTCTTCTGCACCAACAAGGGTGTATGGTTTGCATCGGAGCTCGCTGTAAGGTAGTGCCCAGTGCAGTGGGCATCCTGTGTCAGCCTGTTGCTGGTATTGGTGTCCTGTTTTGTGGGTACAAGTGTGAATTCCGTGTTTCTGCGGCATCCTCAGGAGATCTACAAAGATGCAAATACCCAGGTTCACACCTTGAGGAAAATGGTGAAAGAAAAAGAAGAAGCCATCCAGCGACAGTCAACGCTGGAGAAGAAGATCCATGAACTGGAGAAGCAGGGTACCATTAAGATCCAGAAGAAAGGTGATGGAGACATCTCGATCCTTCCTGTTGCTCTGGCCTCGGGGATGGTGCCGGCAGGGTCAGAGGCTGCGGCTGGCCCGTGCGTCACACCGGTCACTGGAGCTGCATCTTCAGTCCCGTTGCCACCACCTCCACCACCACTGCCTGCCTTAGCAGCGGCATCCGAGGCAGGTAAGAAGCGTTTTGTCCCGGAGACAGGGGCTGGGCGGGAGTTGGAGGTGGAGTTTGCTGAGCTGGGGACAGTCACAGCAGGCTGATGCTGACAGAAACACCTTCAGCCTGTGGCAGCCTGCAGCAGCTGAGGATGCTGAGGTCCCCCAGCTCTGTTTCCCCTCTCCCTCCTGGGTGACTCCTGTGTTTGTCTGATCCATTTCTGAGCCTTTGGCTGATAGAAAAAAGGATACTAGCTTCTGGAAACAAAAATATTTGGGAAACAACGCATTCTTCTGTTGTTAGAGTAGTTTCCTCCCGTGTCAATACACTGAAGAACGTTGGGGAGCGGGCCAGAGACCGCTTGGGCCAGTG